CTGATAAACTGCTGTGGATATTCATTAGCAAGAAACGTCTTTGTTAAGAACTGCTCTATTAAAACTGGTGAATCAGTTGTACAAATCCGATTGGCTCGAGTGAATAATGTTTTAACCAGACTGCGTTTATAGTTGGCCGGCGCAAAACTGGTAAACTGTATCTCATGGTCATTCCAAGTGAATTTGCGAAAAACGGAGCAGTTAAATATCCCATCTAACTGTCTAGTGAGTAAGACGTCTAAAAGGGATAGATTATTATTAGATCCTAGCTCAAAAGTAACGGATAAAGAAGGGTGTAAACAGTTCACGCTTGCGCGCCAATGGCAAATAGCCGATCAACTACAACCCAAGTGGAGAGAATGTGGAGTTACTGTGGAAATTGATGACGAAACCGCTCACCATGGAATATGGATTTAAGGATGATCGGTATAAAATATTAGCATCCTGACAATAACATACATATCATATGCTGCATCAGAAGAACTTAATCAGTTTTGTGGATAATGTCACTCATCACGTTTGTATGCTCCATGAACTTCGACTACATATCCTGGGATGGATTACTAAATCGAATGCACGATTATTCCAACACTCGGTGGAATACATCAATGTGACGGTTAGATATGTCCAAAACCCACCACGAAGAGATTGTGGATAACACGGGCGATCGGACGAGCCATCACTCAACGAAATCAGACCAACGGACGAGGAATGGGAGGCAAACACTCATGACAGTCACATCAGTCACACAAACAAACCAGGCAGAAGTGCACAACGATATATGAATGAAACCGGCCGTTGTAATGTGGACTGGAATTCCCGTTTGTAAACGCCAGTGCGCATGTGGCGTAGGAAATCCGTGTTGGATATTAAAGATTGTACTATTTTGAACGACTTTTTGCTAGATTCCTATTGACGAAAAAGCGGTTGCTTAAGTTTGAAATTAATAACCAGCCAGTGAGTTAACATTGTGGTCTTTCAGACCCATTGGAATCTCTAGATTAGTGCATATTTTAGATGCATTCACAGGAAGATGCTAAAACCCAACTTTTCGTCAACATTGTATATGGCGCTACTACTCTGTAGAGTAAGATTGCATAAGTGGTACATTCGAATAACTGTGTTATTTTAATCCGACGAATGGCTTCGTGGATGCCATCACTCTCTAGTTAACCTCCATCACCCATCCCATTATGGGAAAGGCAAATGTCAAGCTCATGAAATTAACAGTTGACTTTTGCTATACAACTCATTGCTTGTGCTATCATACTGTTGTACCATGTAAATACAATAGACTGTTAATAAATGAGCTCGTGACTTGTAACGAGAAGAGCATGCCGTTGTTGTGTCGTCAGTGTACAGTACCTGGCAAAAATATGTACCCAAATTTATGGTTTGTGCTAGGCTCGTTGGAACGTTGATCACTGGGTCCTTCTTTCTTTAATAAAAACGTTACAGATAAAACCTTTATCCGCATAATCATTTACAAACTTTTGTGGGCTGTTAGACTGTGGACTGTTAGAATAATCATCTGTTGATGTGCGTTGCCGATCACTTCTTTGCAGGTCATGAACATTGCCCGTTGTAGTCAGACTGAGTTACTGGCAACTGGTCGTGTAGTCACAAGCTTGGTATTAAACGCCCTATTGGTATCAGCCATATTTTCATCACACAGAGTAAAAAACAGTTCAATGCGCTGATCCGTTGCCAGTTTATCGACACAGCGTTCTCTTAATCGCAGTCCAGCTATGTGCTCTGGTTCCAGCTTGATAATTCGTCTAGACTAAGTCGCACTTGGCTGCTGGCGGGCAAACAGATAAGACTGCGATCCAACACAACTCAACACAGTTACCCCAGGACCCACGAATTTGATGTGCAGTCGGTGAAATAAAAGCATCGATGTTAAACCGTCATCAGTCATTTAGGTACATTTTCGAGCAATTATTTATTGATTCATAAATCTGTTTCGGCCATGAATGCAGCTTTAATCATTCAGGGTTTGGTGACAAAAATATCGTGATAGCACAAATCATTAGATGGATATCGTATTTTTTGATTCGTTTGTTTGCACTCACAGATGCATTCTGGTTCCCACTTCCGAGTTATCTCTCTGGCACGGAAACGTGCGCTTGCAGCCAGGTCTGATCGATCGTGTACCGTGGTGACCAGAACACTGGGACGATAGGGCCAAGCGACTTGACTACGAATGCGCGCCAAATAGTCCCCCCACCAGCACGCATCTAGTCTGGCTGTGGTCACAGTTCTCTGTTGTGCCCGTTCGGTCACCCGACTCAGTTAGGCGACGTGCTCTTTGGGTAGGCCATTTGGTTTGGGCTCCGGGTTTTGTTGCCGCGTCCATTGGTCCAGGATGTACAGGAGACGGCAGATACAGCTAAAGGACAGTACTGTGATGTGGTCAAGAGGACAAATGAACGGTAAGAGTTGCAGCACGGCTTTACGTTAAGGCGGTAGACTGTCCAATAGCACGGCACACGCGTGACGTCGCTAAAGCTCACTTGTTCAGTCTCAGGACTTCACGTGACCTTAACCAATCGGGCAACGGCTAGGTTTTATGGACGCACTCGCATACCATGGATGACTAGCAATGCAAACGTAATGCAATTTAGCCTCGGCTGTTTCTCGCACTTTGTTTGGTTAATACCATCAATGGCGGTTATATAAAGGGGAGGATTTTTGACAGTTTCCTTCACTTTCTACTAAACCACTCCTTTTTGTGGTTTCATCCCGCATACCTCTGCACCAGGTTTGAAGGGGTAATATACAATCATTGTTTCATGGAAGCTGAGGACACGGGTGTGCTTGTTTCGAGAATGGCAATGAATCCTTTGGAAAGATGTGAAGAAGCTAAATATCACCTCCTCCTATTTTGCTGTTACAGAAAGGTTCATTTAAATACTAAACTTTACCCATGTGTTCTTCAGTCTTTCGACTTTCGTCGACTAACGTAATTTTGGTTTCGACCGTTTTGTAATAACATCTGTCCTATAGGCTTAACTAGGGTACATATATTCTGTGTCCCTCATAGTATATCGTCGCACTACTTAGGATGGGTAATTCCCCATTTGCGCAGTGCATTCAGGTCTATTCTAAGTGAGAACAAATGATCGAGTTCCTTAAACCTGGTCGATCAATAGAAACGTGATAACCAAGGGTCTAATACCACCCGGCGCACAGATGGGTACACGTTGTCTGCGTGCGCACACAGAGCAGGACGCAATAAAATCTAGTCGACAAACCAATGATCAGGACTTCCCAGTTAGATTGATGCCACTGTCTTCAGAGCGATGAAGTACCGAACAAGATTTGCTTTGTGTTTGATCTTCGGGCTAATTCGAACACAATAAATACGAAACAGCAACCAAAGTGAGTCAAAAAACCGGTCAACAGAGACTATGAACGGCGTGTTTGGCATCAGTTATTCAATCACTGTTCGAAATGTCCGCATGAACTTCTTCGGTGCGTAGAGGTCAGGGTTGCGCAATCGGATACTAATGCCCTCGGCCACGGCCAACATTCGGATTCCCATCATTTTGGTTGATTCCTTGACACTCGATGGACAATCTGAAAAACACCTATCTTACTGACAGAATGATTAGAGTCGCTCAAATGAGGAACAAACGCAATTGAAACCGTTTTTATCACACCTCTGTTCAACCACGCAGAACGATGTAGACATTGTCTCGCCCTCTCGCAAGGCCCATCGCGTGCCAAGTCGTCTAGTCTAGGTGACGCCACTGTCCCAACCTGCAGTACGCGTCCACACATTCATCGACCCGAAAACTCTTCCACATCCGAACGCACGCACGCGCGCAGTCACCATCTCCACACTCAGCCAAATGGAACGCTCCAATTAGATTGGATTCAGTGCGGTCGATACACGAGCACACATGATACTGGTGGACCCGGATCGGAATAGAGAGTACAGGACAAAGGAGTAGAAGAGGACGAGCGACAGACGAGCGACAGACGAGCGCCACTGTATTAAGCTTGTACACCAATCCCAACAATAAAGATCCAAAACATTGACTTAACCTTTTCATTGACTTTTATCGAGATATCGCCGTTTGTTGGTGGATACTCAAGCCATGACGATTGGGGGTTCCATTACAACGCACTTTATCAGACAGCCTTGTCGTACGACCAATGTTTGATGCTCGACATGAGCAAAAAATGAGCGCACGCAACAACCGACTGTAGAACATGGAGGTTTATCTCTGAGTTGTGACATGATAACGGGTGTCGTACGAAAACTCACGCACACTGGATTAGTAGGATAGGTTGTTTCGACTGATATCCACAGTTTTCCAGTGATATCTTCGGTCATGAGGTCTCCCTTTCAAGAGAGACCAATAAACGCAAGTTTCTTGTTCACAGAAGATGACTTAAGTTTCGACTGTTGAGTTGGAGGCATCCGAGACGGATTAGCCTGTCACACTGACCGAAGCCAAAGGACGCCTGCGCTTTAAACCATCACCTCAAGTGGCTTGCGCTCCAACACTTGCGGTTCCACTCACACACCACGTATCCGGTGTAAACTTGAAGGAATAAGACCAGTAGGTGTGTAAGTGAGGCCTTTGTGCGTTTCGACTGTACCACCTGCATCACCTTCTGAATGAAACGCATTGGGTAGCCATTCTGCATGAACACTTCTTGTAGAAAATCTGGCTCAGTCTCTGTCTTTAATGGAACAGCGGAGCATGCAAATGCTGTAATCAAGTGTGCCCGGTATTCAACTTAAGATCACTTAACTGCCCAACTTTTTACCGAATTACGAAATTGTCAAAATAATTTACTGTCACATCTGGGACCATTGGACTGAATTGGAACTGGAATAAAATTTCAGTTGCGGTTGTTGCGTTGATGAAATTCCGACCTTCTGGTGTTGCCAACCTGTTGCCAGCCTCCTAAATTACATTATCTGTCAGCGTCCAGCCTAGTGTACACTTGTGATATAGCCAATTCTAAAGTCCACGGGTGTCTCCTCGGTAGTATAGTGGTGAGTATCTCCGCCTGTCACGTGGAAGGCCCGGGTTCGATTCCCGGCCGGGGAGCAACCTTTTTGTATTGTAATATGCAAAACAGTATTTTCTGTTCCAGTCACACCATCATCTCAGATGGTTTTAGATCAGGGCCCAACTTCTAATTTTGACACTGCAATGAGTTCTGTCCAGCCTCAACCCGTAATTATCCGCTCTCCATATGTAGTTGACGGTCGCACCAGACACTTATAGCTGACTATGTTAGAGTTCCGATTACCATATGTACTCTTTGGTTCGAATTTCTGTGGGTGTTTAAACGTTTATGTGAACGAGTAGGTATACCGACGGGTACTCCGCGCACTGGCTTACATTTTCATTGTATTATCGTTTCGTTTTATCACTTGACCGTTCGCACGTAGAATTTCCGTGTCGACAATATACTTCGTGTTTACTCAATGCGTTATTCTCAACCGGCCGTCTTCGGTTCGCTAGATCCTACAAACACACCATCTACTGTATACCGCTGGCTATCTCGTCACAGATCAGTCATGTGGAATACTTTGTCCATATGGTTGTTGTATGACAGGCAGTTTCGTTGTGAGTAGTATACTACTCACGAGTAGTATGTTACCCACAGGCAGTATTCAGGAATAAAAGAGCAAGCTCCGAACCCCAGGAAGACGATGGACAAGAATGGAATATCGGAATAATGTATACGTTCTATGGCAGAAGTTTCACCAAGGGGAATGACAATGTACTACCACCCAATGTATGTGAATGCATGTGTGACGTGCAAATGAGTGCACGCGTTTGTGGTTTGCTTTTTGACGAACTATGCAGAAGTTTGCGCAATAAACTAATTCTCAGGCCAGGCGTCTTTTACGGTCATTACATGGTCACGTTGATATGAAATGTCGTTCGTAGTTTAGTGCACGGTGCACTAAGTCGTTTACCCCAGGTACGAATTAACCAGACGCGAAATACATAAGACCGCTGAGAGAAGAGACCGAATATTTATTGCACGAAATATATGGATGGTCTCTTGTAGCGCTAGAAATGGCACCGACACGTAAGTTAGCTAGAGAAGCTAGAGACCGGCCGTCGACGAGCGATTAAACCGGATGTGTGTGACACCCGTGTGCGTTCGCGTTCGCGCCGTAGTCACATGGCAAACAATCGGACAACATGTATCATGCGAACTTTTCTAATAGCCTAGGTACAATATGTAACTATGAGTTTTGAAACTATTTTACACATCATACCGCAGACAGGCCAGTGAAATCTCCAGGTCGCTACAGTAGCAGTTCGGGAATTTTGATCTCTTCTAGGAACGAACCTGTAGTCTAATTCATCCCTTCGAAGCAGGCTAGTCGAAAGGCTTATCTGAATGCCAAGGATATGATCAAGTGTGAGTGATGTTCATTTTAAAATAATTCACACTGAAGTAACTAACTTCAAATCTTATCCTCTGTTTATTGTATAGTAGAATTTGTGTTCGAAGTTCAAGAGGTATGGAAACATAGTGAGTGTCAACAGTCCTAGAACTGGTTATGTACTTCCTGGAATTCATAATAATAAAATTGTATATTAATGTTGCTGAGAAAATTACGTCATGCCATGCGGTCTAGAAGCTTGTGCCACCCTTAGTGAGCTGTGTTTAAATATTAATTTGTCAGGTCACATAAGTTCAGGTCAATACTGCACGGTCAAAAAGCCATGTTGTTTAAATTCAAAGCCATATGTGGCAACTCTCCATTATGTGGTTCCGATTTCGAGCTGTATCCTCCTATGTTAAATCTCTGTGTTTCACCTTATTCAATTTTACCTAGACACTGGAACTCTGACAAACCGAAATCGATGTGCTCTCAAGAGTTTTATGAGCCGCTTACTCAGAGATGTTACTCGGATTTATCGACCAGATTTCCAAATAATTTTAGGTTGTTCTTAATCGAACGAGTTAAAAGTTTCTCACATAAAACAAGTGCATATTCCGATGGGGGTTAAAATGGTTCTTTTAACCCCCTACGATACTGGCAAACGTATATGTTGGTTGTGGTGCATTCTTGTATCCCGCACCGTACTAATAGTTTGGGGTTGAACGCTTAGGTTGGCTTGGCCCAGTAGATTTGATTAATTTTAGTTGAGACTCCATGAATTCACAACAACGCTTAATCCGTTAGAATATCTCAGAACGTGGTGGCGGACTAACTTCACACAATAGGTGAACTTCTAACCAAAATCCCCATCGTTCAATCATATCCAATGCGGGAGCATGTAGAGGTGCTTTGTAATTCACCCTAGTACCGCACCAACGGAGATTCAACTAATACTGACATCCTGCTACCACTGACATTTGCATATGCTGTGCCAATCAGTCGTCAGCACGGCGTATCTTCAGAACGTTGTCAATCAGAAATGGAGCATGCATATATAGCGTCAAGGTAACATGTGTAGACCGGCTTCCGATAGCATATTGTGGTGGATTATCATTCCGGAGAGGCGTATACTCAAACACCCGGCAGAACGCCTCAGTGCGGGGGAGGCACGTCCACAAACCCTCAACGATCGGATGGCGGACAACAGGGGCAATCGGATGAGTCAACGCTCGATCGGATCGGACCAACGGGTGAGACATGGAACGCAAAATAGGATAGACGACCAAATCGGAGGCTCGATTATTCGAACACTCGGGGGAATATCTCGACACGGTCGTGGAGTACATTCAAAGCCCACAGTGGATAGATGGCGGACAACACGAGCGGCCGGATGGGCCATCGGTCAACGAAATCGGACTGACGGACGAAGGATGACAGGCGGAAAACCCCCGGATAGAAGGCGCCAATCACACACATAAACCGGATAGTGGGGCACACGAGGCGTGAGCGGAAACCGGGGGTGTGTGTATTGTGGGCTGGAAATGTGATTCAAAAACGCGTGGGGCATGGACAATAAATATTGTGCTTCATTGGACGCCTTTTCGTTACAGTATGACTAATATTTATTGGGTTTTTACGTTGCAGTAGGATGGTCGTTTAATAAGTACTGCTAGCGTGGCAAATCTGCGGCTTGAACGATAGAAGATTCATTCTAATCATTGACTTGAGTCCACTGTGGATCTGACCCTAGTTGAGGATCCTCGGGGTCTGTTGGCTAATCAAGTATACGAAAGTGGACATACCTGTGCACCGATATTCGTGTTGAACAATGTTATTTAGGTAGACTGAAAAAAAACCAAATTCACATTTACAGTTATCTATAGGCCCAGAAGGCATACAGAAGTTATTTTGAGGAAAAATGAAACGCGTTCTATTTTGGAGTGTCACAATACAATTAAGATTAAGCTGTCTATGGATTTATAATGGACGGCAATTTTCTACTAGTGATAACCAAGAAAAGCCTCAACCCATGCTTTTGGTATTTGTTTATGCATAAAAATAATCTTCTGTCTATGTAGTTAGCCCGCATTTGAAAACAGTGATGTGTTCACTTAGGCATGAGAGGACGTGTGTTATAAAATAGAATAGTAGAGATCAATGGTACAGATCGATTACACAAGGATTAAAAACCAGAATCGCGACCCGATCGAGGATTATTAACTTACGGAGCAATAGTTATGAAACGTAGACACCGGTGAAAAAACTGTGGGACGACGCAGTTTTGTACTTCTACCGCCATCAAGCACATTGATGTCTGAGTGTGTAGTCTAACTAAGTATATCGAAGACAACGTCATAGAACAATCTTGTGATTCCCAGATGTACCATTCACCAGATGAACGTTTTGTAACGCGTCCGATTCCCACGCCTACGAAGTGACAAACGAATAATGATCGAGGAAACAACGGTGCTATTGGTACAAAGATTACTGCGTAAACCAAATACAAACACCAATTCGTCCCAAGTACTGAGTGAGTTTCGACAGTACAACGGAACCAAGTAAGTATTTACAAGCAGAACGGTCCAACAACTGCGACCGATACGCAAACAAAACGGCAGCGAGTGAAGTCGCAGTGATACAACCTCAAACTTGAGGTAGGGAACCAACAGTAATCATACAATATTGTCAAACACATGATACATCATGAGAGGAACGCAGACCTGTTCGGTCAAAGGGGAGGACATAGAAGCACACGTTATTTTTGATCGGAGTTTGGACAATGGGTTAACGAGACCTATAGTGGATAGGGAAGACTGTGCTTCCGTCCAGAGAAGCTCGCACACAAGACATGGACTGTCGGAAACTATACAAATACACTATATCAAAAACAGCTTCATTATTCGCAGCACCAAACCCAACCGTTAAGCTTGCCGATGCAGAAATAGACCTTCTTTAGGATCCACTTAGGTCAGAGTTACTCGGTTTCAGAACCAAATGGGATCCATGCCCATGCGAAACAAAACGCTTCAAGTCCACCAGCTACAAACGCCTGGAGATAAACTGCCGAATGACTTCTCCTGCGCTCATTCCCAATTCAACATAAACAACAACTGGCTCTTTCTGCTGATCGCTTTTCAGTCATCTTATTTCTGAATAATCCACCGTCATCTCTTGGGTGACACTATCTCTTTGAATCACAGTAGTAAAAAAAGTCATTAATTAGCTGGTTAGGTCCTACTGAAACAACTGTTTGAACAGGCAGTCCTAGGCCACATGCTGCCCGAGAGCCGAATCTTCTGATCGCAACCGATGGTATGAGTACAACTACAAGCCAGTTCGTAATCTCAAGTTATCACCATCTATGCGCGATTACGTAGTAAACTGATAGTACAGACTCTCTGTATCAAATTGTATCTCGTTCAAGAAGAGCATTGTGAAGTATCCTTGTTTCAGAATCACATGTTAGAAGTTTGGACTGATTTACGCCGATAACATTTTGTTTCTTAGGGCAACCTGACTCACGTAGTGAGTTGGAGGGTTTCCAAGGAGGTCCTTTGCCATTAATTGGCAAATCCCATGAAATGCCGTAACCATCTCAACAATCCGATTATATTTAATTGGCAAAACTTAGGGATTTTATTTTTAACTGGCCCAGTCAGTTCCTCCAATTAATCACTCAAAAACCCAAACAGCTTT